AGCAACTTCTGAAGAAGAATCAAAAAGCATAGAATCTTATAATAATATTTTGCTGGTAGTTTCAAAAGATGGAGCCAACAAAGTTTGCGAGGGAAATATTTTTAGTGCAATATAATATTTAATGAGAATATTTTGCTATGACTGCTTAAATATTCAGGTGAGCGATACAGGCCCTCTTGGGCCTCTTGTTTAAATTTCCATGGGGGATATTACACATTCTCAGAATTAAAAGCATAAATAAAATGTGTGTATGTACACCATAGGGAAAAACAACACTTTTAAATGGCATCTTTTGAGCTGTTATCTCAGGTAAAATCATTAGACGTTAGAATAAAGGAATATTTTAGCAAATTCACTGGTTGAAAATGCTCAATATTACGGTCCAAAATTTGGAGATTTGGCAAGTATGACGTGGATTTGACTCTTAACAAGTATAGCACTGGAAGTCGGAGTCAAGATTTAAAAAAAAAGGAACTTTCGTAAATTACGAATTATTTTCACAATCCACAAATGTTAGGTAAAATTACTATTAAGATGTAAAAATACTGAATAAGAACATTTTCTTACCTTGAAAGTATAATAATGAAAACCGAACCCAAAGGGTTATATTCTATGTGTCAATCTTTAATGAGGATCAATAATATAGATGGTTCGACATCCAAGAGTCCTATCCAGAGAGTTGAGATTTCTCTATTAATATCTTCAAATTAGATACGGTATTTCTTCGACCTTTTTCTCGATTGAAATCTTGTCTTAAAGATTTTGTCCGATATATCGGACTCCAGTAGAGAGTGAATAAATGTGAATTGTTCGATTTCAGAATGAGTCTCCTACACACAACAGTAACAGTTCCAGCCAAAACCTACTTGACTGGTGCAAAGAGGTCACCAAAGGTTACAAAGGGGTCAAGGTCACTAACCTGACAACGTCGTGGAGGAACGGCATGGCTTTCTGTGCAATAGTGCATCATTTCAGATCTGATCTCGTGTGAGTGTGATCTCAAAATCCTTTTTATTGAATTCTTGATCATTGGGAAACAAATATTTTTGATAATTCTTTGTTTTAAAAATGCATACCTCGGGTTTATTTGCATTTAGCTATAGATATATGAAAATCCCATATACAGGTTATCAGGAAATGCTTCTGTTGAAATCTTGTTTATCGTGAAACAAATATTTGAATAATTCTTTGTTTTAAAAATTCATGCTTAAGGTTTATTTGCATTTGGCTATATTGATATGAAAGTCCTGCCTACAGACCTAACACTCAATAAATATTTGTATCCCCCATATTCACATGATAGTGAGAAACAAATCCATGTATGAACTTTTCTTCATTAGTGACACAACACAGAGTACTTGGGACTCTCTACCTTAAAACAAGAATTTGTTATACACATCAATAATGTTAAAAAGTATAGTTAAATATCCATCTTCACATTTACAGGAAATTTGATACTAATGTGTAATGAAATAAACTTTTACAGAAACTTTAAGTCCCTGGCTTCACACGACATCAAAGGAAACAATAAAATTGTGAGTATCACCACCCAGGTCTTCATATAGTTCCATAATCAGGTTTCCAATGCAAACGACCAAAGGAAATCTATTTAATCATGCATCCTATCTAAACTGAACAGCATGTTACGTCTCACAGGGTGTTGGATTAGACAGGTTCCACTGTGGATATACAGAATTATCAAAAATCCTTAAAAAAACTTACCCTTTCACCACTGTAGACCATAATGGACTCATCCAGGTCAATGCATGGTAGAGTCTACTAAAGTTACATAGGGGTGAAAGGGTTAACTGAAATTACCTTTCATTATTGATCAATATGATAAGTTTATAATAAGGTTTTCATTAAGAAAATAGAACATTCTCCAGAACTGTAACCTTCAGAATTTTGAAGTGATTTCCCAAGAGTTTGCAATGACTCTTTATCTCTTTCTACTTTAGATTTGAAAAAAAATTATTAAGTATTTTGTACTTTTTGTGCATTTGATGTATGTTATTTATATGTATAGATTTTCTGAAGTCTTTGTGTGGTTTCATCACAGGCCTTTGATGCTACAGCCAAGCTTGGAATTCCGCGGGTGATAGAACCGTCGGACATGGTCCTGCTCCAGGTCCCTGACAAGCTTGCTGTGATGACATACCTCCACCAGCTGCGTGTCTATTTCACGGGTCAAACACTTGAGATCCAACAAATTGGTGTCAACACCAGAGAGAGTACGTACACTCTGGGCGAAATGGACCTTCAAGTTGAGGCTGAGATCTCGAACGAGATGTATGGTGACCGAGCACGGCCAAAGGTTGCTAAGCAACATTCGCCCAGCAAGGAAAATATTCCTGTCAGAGAGGAGATGGACTGTAGAGGAGACGCAGTAGATGGGGGTAGGCGGAGGAGAATTAGTAAAGAGAAAACTCCAGAGATTGATTCTAGTGTTTCTGAACTAAAACACAGTAGAGATAGCACCCCGGGTGCCGATTCCCACAGTGACACAGACAAAAGTGTTAACAAAGTTGAACGTAAAAAAATCTCTACAGCAGATTTAAAAGTGACTAAACACAGTTCTCCCCCTAAGGAACATAATTCTCCTGCATCTTCTAAAGATGATTCCTCCGCAATCAAGAAACCAGTGATGACGCGGAAACAATTGTATAATCCGTTTGATTCTGACTCGGATGACGATGAGGATATGAGCAGTGAAGGACTTGATGCTGGGTCCCAGGCCGGGTCCTCCATACCCAGTACCTCCACTAGTCCCTCAGTGAGTGCCCACTCCTCCCGAGGTGGCACACCAGCCGAGGTGTAAGTACATCACTTGGAGAACATGTAGTTACGGATTTCCTCCTCTTACGGAAAGTTCTCTCTTTGTAGGGTTAACGTTGTAGTTCATCAGATAATTATTATATAAATATAGGTAGCTGATCACAAATTGCCTTGATATTCAAGTTAATGTTCACAGTTTGTCATACATAAATAGACCTTATATTTATCAATCCCATGATTTTGAAATCAAATTTGAAAAATATTTTGGGTAAAAAAACAATCTTCAAATCAGCTATTTTATTAAGGGAACTGTTATGATTGTGAATATTTCATGTAAACCTTTTTAAATTTCCATGTTTTCAGTGCTTGAATTTTATTGTAGGAACATGTTTAAAGCTAATTCTATATGATGATAACATATATACAGTACGAAAGTATACTTGAACTCATTTATATGTACTGTATACATATATATATGTGTTTACACATTTATGTTTGTTTTATGCTGACTTTGATACAGATTGATAAATTATTACAGGACGATAAGGGTAGCCCGATAGTTTGAGACTAGTGAAATCTCCATCTATACTTGTGGTTCTAGTCAAAATTGATACTGCTTAGGAAATTTGAACATGATCTAATAAAAATTGGACCCCAATTGACTAGTGGTATTCAAAAGTATTTTCTAGACCTGTATACGTAACAGTCCACCACCAACACTGACAGAGGGGACTATAGGTTTACCCTACGACCATCCGTCCATCCAAGGCATTTCTCATATATGTACAAAATGTCACCTACAATTGCTAAATATTGTAATTTACATTTCAGACATAAAAGTATTACTGACAAGCCAGTGGCTACCAGTACTCCTGATAAGGTGAGTGACCATCATTCATTGATTGATAAACTATGGCCTTATCCTTCAAACTGGTTATTATTGGTAATAATAATAATTTGAGGTTTTTATAAACTGCTTTATCACAACCAGAACCTAGTTCGTAGGTCATTCAAAGCGGTTCACAAATGGTAGTTATTCATCAAATGATAAAAAATGTTTGAAATTTACAATTAATTAACAGTGTAAACGGTCAGGGTTCACTAATTGATGAACTGTCTTAACCCATTAACTCATTCACACCCTGAAATTTCATAATGAACTTTTCCAACCTTTGAATTTGAAGAGTTCTAAATAAAAAAATAATGTGTCTTCAGGGGTGAATGAGACCAAGTAAAGGGTACAATTTAAAATATCTTTTTACCATTGTCACCGTTGTGAAATGTAGCTGTAGGATTTTTTTGTGGTTGAACTTGAAAAAATAATTATAAAGCTTATAGGAAAACAGGAAAACTGCTGGAGTCGAACCCAGGACCTTTCCATTACGAAGCCTCTTTACTTAAGCAATGTTGTCTTACAGGAATTACAATAGCACAACATCAAAATGATTGTCCAATTCTTGGGCCTCAAAGCTTTAAAGGGGAAATGAAAAAACCTTACAGGGGAAATGAAAAAACTTTACAGGGGAAATGAAAAACTTTACAGGGGAAATGAAAAAATTCACAAAGGAAATGCAAAACTTTACAGGGGAAATTACGTTGGTTGTTTTATCTTTTATATAGAAGGGAGAATACTCAAAGTCAACAAATCTATTGATTGGAACTCTTCTGTGATTATAATTGATGCAGTGGCATGGCCCCCCTTACCTTATACTCATTCACCCCTGAATTTTTATAATGAACTATTCCAACCTTTGAATTGGATGAGTGTAAATGTGTCTTCAGGGTTGAATGAGTTCATGGTAATTCCACTGATTTGGTAACTCCGGTAGCCCTGAACAGTAGTTCATACGTAAATGAACTATATTTTAATGTATAAACCACTACTCACTTATCACGTGGGTGGCCCAGTAGCCGTGATTGCTAACGCATGCAATCAAGCGTGAGCTTCAGACCACTCACTCTCCCAAGAATTTCGTTTCGATACCCTGTGGTGGCGGAAAATGGAAGTGATGTCTGATAGGGTTGGTTGTTATCCCTCTTATGGTACTGTGGTTTAAACACCATTTGTTCCCTTAGCGGCGTCGTAATAAAAGCTCTTCAGGGCTTATGTTTGTTGTTGACAATGTACAAGACGTTAAATAAAGATTATTTATTTATTTTTATCACTTATGAATTGTGATTCATGAATGGTTTCTTATTGGTGAACTGTGTTGTAGCCAACGAATCGTAAATCTCGCCATGAGGAGCTGAAGGAGAGAGCGAAGCTGCTGCTGGAACAGGCACGGAAAGATGCTGGTCTTGACTCGCCCGTACGACCTGTTCCAAAGTCCCCAGTGAAGGAAACGCCAAAGGAGGCTCCCAGATCTCCCGAAAAAGAGTCAACAAGTTCCGCTCCCTCACCTTCTAGTCCAACACAGGTGGGCCTGCATAGACTACTAAATACATGTTTAATCTTAAATTCCATTGTTTATACAGGCCATAAAATATGCTGGAATTGAGGTCAGTGCTTGAAATGATGTATCTAGGTTTATCTTGGAAAATTGCAAGAATTTACTGATTATTTCTTAGAAAATGCAGGAATATACATTGGAAACAGGTTCATTTATGTATTCTTTTTTTATGGAGGATTTTATCAGAACTTTGTTAATATAGGACATTTGAAAGTATCATGTTGATACAAAATTATTATAAAGAGGTAATGGATTATTTTAGATTTGTTAGATCTTTTTTCAATTTTAGGTCACCTGAGACAAAGTCTCAAGTGTCCTATTGCGATCGACTTTTGTCCGTCGTCATGCGTCGTCGTCTGTCGTGCATCCGTAAACAATTTACATTTTCGACCTCTTCTCCAAAACCCCGAACCAATTTCAAAGAAATTTTGCAAAAACATTCCATGGTCAAAGGTCAACCAAAATTGTGAATTATACGGTCCCCAGCCCCCAGGGGCCTGATCGAGGGGCGGGGCCAAAAAGGGTCGAATTGACTGAATTTCAAAAATCTTCTTCTCAAGACCCAGATATGGGAGAACCAAATACTCTACATAGATGGAAGGGTCTTAAGGGGCTTTACCAAAATTGTGAATTTCATGACCCTGGGGTCTCGCGTTTCCCCCTGGGGAGGGGGTAAACTTTACTATAGTTTATATAGGGAATTCACATTTTGACCAACATTTGTTTGATTTCCATTGGAAGTAATTCAATTTGGGTTAGCATTATCAGTATTGGATAGTAGTTTGATGGTATGCACATTTCAGCCCTGACTGACCACCAGGGGCTGATGGTTGGGCCAAAAAGGGTTGACTGAAATTTCAAAATCTTCTTCTCAAGACCAGATATGGTAGAATCAAATACTCTTCATAGATGGAAGGGTTTTAAGGTGCTCTACCAATATTGTGAATTTTATGACACTATGGTCTCACGTTTACCCCTGGGGAAGGGGGGGAATTTATTATCGTTTATAATGGCAAATGATACTTTGAAAATTACATGTTGATAATTTGATTGGAATTTTAACCCAGAGTTGACAGTTTGATACTTTGAACATTTTGAGCCAGCCCTACCCCCAAAGGAGTCAGTGTGCTAAAAATGTATTCATTTTCTTTGTTTAGAATCAGAGGTGCTAGATTCAAATACTTTTCAGTCTTAAATCTGTATGCTAGATATTGAATAAGGTGGTTTTATTGTGTGTTTTTTTCACTTTGAATAATATTTCTGTTTATGTTTTAAAAACAAAAATCAACTCTCTGTATAAATATACCAGAACTCAGGTGACCGTTAAGGCCCATGGGCCTCTTGTTTATAAATAACAGTGTCTTTACACAAAAATCAGAAATTTTCAACCCCATTTTCTGATAGCTTTGACCTTAAAAATTGCAAGATAGTGTTTGAAAAAGCTGATAACACCTTAAATTTTATATAGAAAAGTCTGTATGGACCGTGACTACCTTACGCATTATACATATGATTTGTGTTAGAGTTATCTCCCTTGGATTTGTTTACTTAACATCTTGGAATCATTAAGACTCATCGCAGTTAAAATCATTCAGTGTTTCTTATCCATGGTTCTTGTGTAGTTTTCATATGCATCATCAAATCCTCGATCAAGACTGACTTTCTTGAAATACACCATTATAGATTTCTGCAAAGAAGATTCAAGATCCTTCACTTACGAAACTGAAACTTTCTTGCAGAGTAATGAGGAGAAACAGAAGCGATTACGAGAGCGAGCGAAGTTGTTGATAGAAGAAGCTCGGGCCAGCCTTGACCAAACAAAATCCATAGAACGACAATCTAGTACAGCCTCCGAGGGGTCACTGGACACAGACAAAGAGTCAGGTATGATCATCAGTGTCATTGTCTCCTTCTGTGTTGTCGTAGTAACTGATAATGTTCAGTAAAGTTTTAATTAGAAGTAGCAATCTTGCATGTATAATGGTTTGATTCACATATTTGTTCACGTTTTTCTTTATTTGAATTGATGCACTAAAATTTACTATTACTATTTTCAAAGAAGAAAACACAGGTGTGAGAAACTTAAGTCTTTGATAAATTAGGGGTATTGTTTCAGACTTATCACCAGTTTTGCTTTACATATTCACCAAAGATAGTTTGTGCACCATATTTGCAGCTGTTCCAGGACTTTAGATAATTACAATAAATGTATATTTATTAGATATTTTATAGATTCAAAAGTTTGCATGCTTCTGTGCTTGAGTTTTATTTCTTGTCAAATAGTCTGCTGTACAGCTTTCTGATCACATTTCTGCAATATGTTTATAGTTGCTATGCAGTTCATGGAAAAATATTCTTTTTGTTGTTTTACTGTAGAATGTGGTTATTTCTGTGTTTGTTTTGTTTGACTGTAACTCCAATTCATGTTGTATACGTTCCTCTCATTTTTTGTGACCTTTTGGGCACCACAGTTATAAGGAAGCCTAGGCCTAAAGCCAAGCGAATTACATCCTCACAACTATTTGTGATGAAAAGTGGTAAGATTGTCTTCCCTTATCAGGTGGAGGATTGTCTCCCCTTGTAAGCTGGAGTCCCCTTGTAGATAGAGGATTGTCTCCCCTACAAGGTGAAAAGTATTCTCCCTTATAAGTTGACAGTTGTCATCCCTTATGAGGCGTTGATAATTATCTCCCCTTATAAGATGGAGGATTGTCTCCTCTTACGAGATCAATAATTGTCTCCCTTTGTATGGATGACAGTTGTCTCCCCTTGTATAGCTGGGGTGATGGACACAGCTTGTTAACCCTGCTTACATTAAAACACTCATGGCATGCTTCCATTCCAGTCGCTGAATAGCACACAGCAGTCTCTTCAAATTTGTGTAGTCACATTTGCAATATTTTATTCCTTATTATTATGTAATTAATTTATTTTGTTTTAGTTCGTCACAAAGAAATACACAAGGACTTAAGTAAAAAGAAAATTTCATATGATGATAGAAATGAGAAAATAACTTTGGTGGTGGAAGAATATGTTAAAGCACCATATTTCATGACCTTTTGTAACAATATCACATCACAATGCTATAATGATGTAATAATATTTAAAAATGGGAGATAGAAATAAAAGTGTCCAAGAAATAAAGATGGTTCCCTAATGCTCAGGAATGCTTTTGGAGAAACGGGTCTTTAAACTTGTTGATAGGTCAATTTTCCCTTGTTTTTTTAAAAATTAAAGCGGTTCTATATAAAACAAAATAAAAAAAGGAAAATAACATTCCTATCTCTTAACTGATGCATTTTGAGCGAGATCCTTTGATGTCATATGGCAATCTTGGGACCAGTGAGCTGGAGATGTTACACCATGTGGTGCCCGCGTTACTTAGAGTTGTTAAACTAACCTTCGCTAACTGTGTTACTATAATAATATACATTTATGGTGTGTGGTGGTAAACTAACTGAAATTAAAACCGAACTTAGACAAATCTCAGTTTCGTAAGATTTAATGTCAGAACATTTCATCTTATTAACATTTTTAATACTATATACAGCTTTGAATGTTTGCTGTGTTGTTATGTTTTAGTCAGGAAGTTTACATTTTCAGTGTGGGTCAGTTGTGTCTGTAACTTTAAACATGTATATGTAAAGGCCTCCCCTTCAGTTTTAGTGTAAAATTGGCCGAGCAGCAAAACTCTAATATTTCAAAGTGTTAGTCTTGTCTTAAGTCTCAAACTAGACATGACATGAATGCCTTGAGCTGATAATTATCACTGCATTGTAGAATTTGCTGTTGAATCATTTTGCAAAAAGCGTGAAAGTATTACTTCTGCAAAAATTACCAGGTATACAGTACCACAGCTAAAATGTTAAAAAATATTCGACTCATTGAATTTCAAAAATGTTTTATACTAAAAAAATACTATTATACTACATATAATAGAGAATATCATAGAATAACACAATGTTTAACTTTAAAAAAAAGAAATTTCAGTGTTTTTTATTAGGGAAAATGAAAATTACAAATCATGCATATACAATTTTATACTGTACTAATATAACATATATATGAAACTGATTAACAACCATTATTTAAAATCAAATAAGAGTTAGCATGCATGGTATCTTAATACTCAACAATCTAGCCAACTTTGTTCCCAGCTAAAGTGGCCTAATTGTGAGATAGCTGATTTTTATTGAAAAACTCTTATCTGTCGCCTGACTGGATAGTGGGGCAACTAGATCAAGTCTAGAAGTGGCTGGAATGATGAGGGTGATTGTGAAGAGTTACTTCCCTTAGACCACTGCAAGTTTGTTTGACTGCATTTGATGTGCTTCTGTTTAAAGACAGCGGTTTATATCATTGTATGGGATTTGCTGTTTCTATTTTATGTGAGACAGTGATTGTAATCATTTCATGTTGAGAGCTACAGCCTTCCTTCACAAAGCAGACCTTCAGCCAGCCTTATATTTGTTTTGCCCTGCACCCCCACTCTTACTCCCCACCGGACCCCTAAAGAAAAATGGTGTTTTGTTTAGGTCTGCTATATTTTCATCATTTTCCATAAAAATAATGGTATCTGGTACATATCTTTAAATTCCAAGCTCCTGAGATATTTTAATACAAGGCAAGCATTGCTCAAAATTTAAAGCAAATTGGAATCATCCTTCAATTTTTAAATCTACAGAAAATTACCATTTCTGAGTAAAGAAAGTGTTTTTGAAAGTTTACAGAATGGTTTATTTTGAGTTTGTTCTGTTATTTACTTCATTTAAGATTTTATTTTACTGTTTAGCTGCAAATTTTGTATGTTAAAGACATCAGATGAAATTGACTTGTGATGTTTACAGTGACTTTTGATGCAACAAACCGAGAGCTTCCAAAGAAACTGGACCTCAAACTGAAGAAGTTCAGTGTGAAGAGGACTGACCTGGTCTCACAGTTGTCTCAGGACAAAACGCCCTCCCCACAACAGGTAATATAATGTCCCACAACAGGTAATATAATGTCCTACAACAGGTAATATAATGTCCCCCAACAGGTAAAACACCGTCCCACAACAGGTAATATAATGTCCTACAACAGGTAATATAATGTCCCACAACAGGTAATATAATGTCCTACAACAGGTAATATAATGTCCCACAACAGGTAAACTAATGTCCCACTACAGGTAAAATAATGTCCCACCAACAGGTAAAACACTGTCCCACCAACAGGTAAAACACTGTCCAACCAACAGGTAAAACACTGTCCCACCAACAGGTAAAACACTGTCCAACCAACAGGTAAAACACTGTCCCACCAACAGGTAAAACACTGTTCCACCAACAGGTAAAACACTGTCCAACCAACAGGTAAAACACTGTCCCACCAAGAGGTTAAACGCCAAACCCACAACAGGTTAAACACTGTCCCACAACAGGTAAATGCCATCCCCACAAAAGGTAAAACACTGTCCCAAAACAGGTAAAATAATGTCCGACTACAGGTAAAACACTGTCCCTCCAATAGGTTAAACGCCATCCCTTCAACAGGTAAAACACTGTCCTTCAACAGGTAAAACAATGTCCCCGAAACACTGGCCCCACGAAAGGTAAAACAATGTCCCCACAACAGGTAAAACACTGTCCCCACAAAAGGTAAAACTGTCCCCACAACAGGTAAAACTGTCCCCACAACAGGTAAAACAATGTCCCCACAACAGGTAAAACTGTCCCCACAACAGGTAAAAAAAATCCCCATAACAGGTAACACACTGTCCCCACAAAAGGTAAAACTGTCCCCACAACAGGTAAAACAATGCCCCATAACAGGTAAAACACTGTCCGGCATCATCACAACAGGTAGAACACAGTCCCCACGTCAGGTAAAACACTCTCCCCACATGTACAACAGGTAAATCTTTCCCCACAACAGGTAAAACACTGTCCCTGTGATAGGTAAAACATAGTCGCACGACAGGTAAAACACAGTTCACACAACAGGTAAAACAATGTACCAACAGGTACCCAAGGTAAAACATCTGACCACAGCAACATTCTCACGACAAGTAAAAGGCCATCCCCACATCAGGTAAATAAAAACAATGTCCTCACAACAGGTAAATTAAAACAATGTGCCCACAAACTTGTATAAACAAGATTTTCAATTAGATCCTGTTTACGTATCTATGTATTGTAAATTGAGCCAGCATAGCCTTGGAACCTGTCAATTAGATCTTGTTTACGTATCTGTGTATTGTTAATTGAGCCAGCATAACCTTGGAACCTGTCAATTAGATCTTGTTTACGTATCTGTGTATTGTTAATTGAGCCAGCATAACTTTGGAACCTGTCAATTAGATCCTGTTTACATATCTGTGTATTGTAAATTGAGCCAGCATAACTTTGGAACCTGTCAATTAGATCCTGTTTACGTATCTGTGTATTGTAAATTGAGCCAGCATAGCCTTGGAACCTGTCAATTGATCCTGTTTACATATCTGTGTATTGTTAATTGAGCCAGCATAACCTTGGAACCTGTCGATTAGATCCTGTTTACGTATCTGTGTATTGTTAATTGAGCCAGCATAACTTTGGAACCTGTCAATTAGATCCTGTTTACATATCTGTGTATTGTAAATTGAGCCAGCATAGCCTTGGAACCTGTCAATTGATCCTGTTTACATATCTGTGTATTGTAAAATGAGCCAGCATAACCTTGGAACCTGTCAATTAGATCCTGTTTATGTGTCTGTGTATTGTAAATTGAGCCTGCATAACCTTGGTACCTGTCAATTAGATCCTGTTTACGTATCTGTGTATTGTTAATTGAGCCGGCATAACCTTGGAACCTGTCAATTAGATCCTGTTTATATATCTGTGTATTGTTAATTGAGCCAGCATAACCTTGGAACCTGTCAATTAGTTCCTGTTTATGTGTCTGTGTATTGTAAATTGAGCCTGCATAACCCTGGTACCTGTCAATTAGATCCTGTTTACGTATCTGTGTATTGTAAATTGAGCCAGCATAACCTTGGAACCTATCAATTGATCCTGTTTACATATCTGTGTATTGTAAATTGAGCCAGTATAACCTTGGAACCTGTCAATTAGATCCTGTTTATATATCTGTGTATTGAAAATTGAGCCAGCATACCCTTGGAACCTGTCAATTAGATCCTGATTATGTATCTGTGTATTGTAAATTGAGCCAGCATAGCCTTGGAACCTGTCAATTAAACCTGTTTACAAATCTGTGTATTGTAAATTGAGCCAGCATAGCCTTGGAACCTGTCAATTGAACCTGTTTACAAATCTGTGTATTGTAAATTGAGCCAGCATAACCTTGTAACCTGTCAATTAGATCCTGTTTATGTATCTGTGTATTGTAAATTGAGCCAGCATACCCTTGGAACCTGTCAATAAGATCCTGTTTACATATCTGTGTATTGTAAATTGAGCCAGCATAACCTTGGAACCTGTCAATTAGATCCTGTTTACGTATCTGTGTATTGTAAATTGAGCCAGCATAACCTTGGAACCTGTCAATTAGATCCTGTTTACGTATCTGTGTATTGTAAATTGAGCCAGCATAACCTTGGAACCTGTCAATTAGATCCTGTTTACGTATCTGTGTATTGTAAATTGAGCCAGCATAACCTTGGAACCTGTCAATTAGATCCTGTTTACGTATCTGTGTATTGTAAATTGAGCCAGCATAACCTTGGAACCTGTCAATTAGATCCTGTTTACGTATCTGTGTATTGTAAATTGAGCCAGCATAACCTTGGAACCTGTCAATTAGATCCTGTTTATGTATCTGTGTATTGTAAATTGAGCCAGCATAACCTTGGAACCTGTCAATTAGATCCTGTTTACGTATCTGTGTATTGTAAATTGAGCCAGCATAACCTTGGAACCTGTCAATTAGATCCTGTTTATGTATCTGTGTATTGTAAATTGAGCCAGCATAACCTTGGAACCTGTCAATTAGATCCTGTTTACGTATCTGTGTATTGTAAATTGAGTCAGTATAACCTTGGAACCTGTCAATTCTCATAATATTGTTGACAATGTGGGAATCAATTACAGTTTGATTGTATTAGCTACAAAAATGTTCACTTTCTCTTGTGAAAATATTCTTTTCTTTAAATTTTGTTTAAAACTAGAACCAGTTTTGTATATGTACTTGGTCTATTACAGGAGGATGTGAAACCTATCAATGGGAGAAAGGTCATCACACCCATATCGCCTCTCTCCTTCAGTGGAGAAATTTCCGTCGATGGTAAGTGTGAGGATTTCATTGGTGAAAACAACTAAATGATATAAAGGCTCGGGACCAAACTGTTTGTTTTTCATCAGCATCATCAGGGCTATTCAGGAAAACAGGAAAATGTAGGCTGTAGTATGGAAGACCTGCACAGATTGTTTATAATGATGCTAGACTAACGACAACACTTTTTGCGAGTTTTGGACAACACTTAGGGACACTGGTCTTTTACTGTTACCAAAATTAGACATGAAGTAACTACCCAGATAACAAAAACAGGTTGAGAAGAAGCAGTGTGGAACAACTGCTTACTCAAATGTTACAACTTCTGTCAGGAGCAGCGGGATCATGATTGTATAAGCCTACTCTGATGCACATGAAACAATTTGCTATAATTATAAAAAAAAAGCAGGAACAGATTGAAAAATCTATTGATCCTCAATATCCAGTAAGCATTTTATACAATTACCTTGTTCTTAGCAGTGCATGCCTTAGAAAATGTACAGACTTGTTAAGTTAGTTTTAAATAGGATCTTTTTTTGTCTCACTGCCACGTAGTAGCGGAAATGTGACTTACAAGTTGCTTTTTCGGCGATGGAGGCGTCAACATTAAGTTTTTGCGTTTAAGTTAATTTCACTGAAAGTGTAAGTGTTAGACCAACCAAACTTGCACCATAGATGCATCTTAGGTAGTACATCTCAACACATGCATCAAATGCGGCCTACCTTTCATGGTCCATTGACTTTGTCAGCATCTCCATCAACATTAAGTTTTTGCGTTGAAGTTACCAGGTAGTTTCACTGAAAAGTTAAAGTGCTAGATCAACCAAACTTGACATGTGCATTGAAGGTCAGAGTGGGGCACAGACACGGCATATCAATCTGAATGGCTTGTTGTTTGTAGGGAGTGAAGGATCAGGAGATATGCGGGACTCGCTGGACTTTGACGAGATGCTGAGTAAACGGAATGAAGTGAGTTATACTAACACAAGTTACCTCCCCTTGTATCTAAGAATCCTGTGTTTTGTATTGTAACATAAGTATTCTCTTATGTGAAGAAAATATGTGCATTACATTTTAAGGATCCCTCTTACCACTGCAAAAAATTAAACTATGAGTCGGAAAATCGTGAAGTGGCACTACAATAATTTAAATTTAATAAATAATTTCTGAAAAGAAACCAATGTGGAGCAGAACTTTACGAAAAAAAATATATAAAAAGTTAAAATAAGACAGGGCCCGACAGGGATTTGAACCAAAGGCCTCCAATCACAATACAATAGCTGTAGCAAACTTAGCTACTTGATCAGTAGTAGTAGTCCACTGGCCCAGCTCGTCTAAGTTAATTAAGGGGGCATTACTCTGTGTATGAAAAACTTCAGTCGGGGAATTTTCTAGTGTTTTGCCTGCAGGGGGTCAGGAATCCTGAACAAATATTTAAGACGATATGCTACCTTACTGTGACATACCATCCTCCGTTACAGAAGAATTCCACAGTGAGAAATATCTTTTCATTAATAATTATTTTTACTTTGTGAAATAGTTCACAACGCAGATGAAAAAGACACAAATTCATAATTATCATACTGCCAATTAAGAAAAAGATAGATAACTAGATATAGCTTTTATATTTTTAGCCGCATTTAACAAAACAAAAAAAAAGAGTTTTGAACCTTTTCTGCAAGCTTCATGAGGAGGAATCGGTGTCAGATTAACTCTTGTGACTTGGGTGTTAATTTTTGATAAATCAGGCTGGGATAACTTACTTGTATTATATAATATCATACTGCCGCATGTCCTGGTTTAGATCTCATGTGGCAGCTGTAATGTACACAGATTCTGTTTCCTGTCTAAATCTGAAACAAGCTGGAAACTTGGGAAACTTTGATGTTTTACAACATACAGAACAACACCCTGTACATCAGAGCCATTGTTTGATCTTTTTCGTTGCTGATACATTCTAGGTTGAAGCTGACGGTGAAGTTTATCTGGTAATATCAGCATAACCCTTGCAAATCCTGAATGATGATACAATCTTTAATTCAATTCGAATCCTCTGCTTTGAAATTGTATGCAACCACATTTCCACGTGAAAATTGCATCAGCCTCCTTCAAGCCATTGCGTTGATGAACGATGGTTCCTGCTGATCTTTCATTGTTATACATGCAGCTATATATAGATACCCATATTCAAGATTTCCAAAAATATTTATTTGACAACAAGTATGTACTGTATTATGTTGTTAATTGACAACAATTGCATTCAAAACAAGAAGTATGAGAATATGTTTATCATGATTAGTCTTTGTCACAACATATCACAACAAAGAGTGTAAGATTCTATTTTCTATCAAGATAAGACGATGCCATATATTCATTTAAAAAAAAACTGATTACCGGTATCTATTAATCATGATTTGTCTGGATATCACAACAAGGAGTATGAGATTCTGTTTATCATGACTAATTTGTATACATGTATAACAAGAAGTTAGTCGGAATATAAATATAATAATAAGGAGTATGAGATTCTGTTTGTCATGATTAATCTTGTAAATTACAACAAGGAGTATGAGATTCTATTGATCATGGTCACCAGTCTTGTAAATAACAACAAGGAGTATAAGATTCTATTGATCATGGTTACCGGTCTTGTAAATTACAACAAGGAGTATGGGATTCTGTTAATCATGATAAGTCTGTATACATGTATAACAACAAGGAGAATGAGATTCTATTGATCATGGTTACCAGTCTTGTAAATAACAACAAGGAGTATGAGATTCTATTGATCATGGTTACCAGTCTTATAAATTACAACAAGGAGTATGGGATTCTGTTTATCATGATAAGTCTGTATACATGTATAACAACAAGGAGTATGAGATTCTATTGATCATGGTTACCAGTCTTGTAAATTACAACAAGGAGTATGAGATTCTATTGATCATGATAAGTCTGTATGCATGTATAACAAAACGGTGTATGATAGTCTATTGATCATTATCAGTATATCACAACAAGGGCTAGGATATTCTATATGATTAAGTAAGTATATCACAACAAGGGCTAGGATATTCTATATGACTAAGTCAGTATATATCACAACAAGGGCTAGGATATTCTATAGGATTAAGTCAGTATATCACGACAAGGGCTAGGATATTCTATATGATTAAGTTAGTATATCACAACAAGGGCTAGGCTATTCTATATGATTAAGTCAGTATATCACAACAAGGGCTAGAATATTCTATATGATTAAGTCAGTATATCACAACAAGGGCTAGGCTATTCTATATGATTAAGTCAGTATATCACAACAAGGTGTAAGATATTCTATATGATTAAGTCAGTATATCACAACAAGGTCTAGGATAGTCTATAGGATTAAGTCAGTATATTACGACAAGGGCTAGGATATTCTATATGATTAAGTTAGTATATCACAACAAGGGCTAGGCTATTCTATATGATTAAGTCAGTATATCACAACAAGGACTATGATATTCTATATGATTAAGTCAGTATATCACAGCAAGGGCTAGGATATTCTATTTGATTAAGTCAGTATATTACGACAAGGGCTAGAATATTCTATATGATTAAGTCAGTATATATCACAACAAGGGCTAGGATATTCTATACGATTAAGTCAGTATATCACAACAAGGACTATGATATTCTATATGATTAAGTCAGTATATCACAACAAGGGCTAGGATATTCTATATGATTAAGTCAGTATATCACAACAAGGACTATGATATTCTATATGATTAAGTCAGTATATCACAACAAGGGCTAGGATATTCTATATGACTAAGTCAGTATATATCACAACAAGGGCTAGGATATTCTATATGATTAAGTCAGTGTATCACAACAAGGTGTGAGATAGTCTATATGCTGTAGCTATATATAGTGTTCCTTTGTTATATGCACGCCACCATCAACACATCTACCATGTACTGGTAAGAGCAACAAGCAAGCAACTCTTTGTCGAGATCTGACCTCCTCGAAACTTTGTTATGTCGTGTCTTTGTCGAGATCTGACCTCGTCAAACTTTTGTTATGTCGTGTCTTTGTCGAGATCTGACCTTGTCAAACCTTTGTTATGTCGTGTCTATGTCGAGATCTGACCTCGTCAAACCTTTGTTATGTCGTGTCTTTGTCGAGATCTGACCTCGTCAAACCTTTGTTATGACGTGTCCTTGTCGAGATCTGACCTTGTCAAACCTTTGTTATGACGTGTCTTTGTCGAGATCTGACCTTGTCAAACCTTTGTTATGACGTGTCTTTGTCGAGATCTGACCTCGTCTTACGTTTTGTTATGTCGTGTCTTTGTCTAAATCCCTCGTGTATGATGACTCTGTACACAATGATTTCTTGATGACAAGTGTCGCTACGCACAATGTGTTTCACTTTGACTTTACTGCAGACACTTACCGGATACTATAAAATCATTTTAATTTTGTAAATAGACTCATGTACATGTATTATTTTCGCACTTCTCTAAAGACATACTCACATGGATTTCCATCATATCTGTTACAGTTGTGAGGAAATAAAGAATGTCTGTCTGTCTGTCTGACCTGTCCTCCTCCTTAACCCTTTCACCCCTATGAAACTTCAGTAGACTCTACCATGCATTGATATGGATGGGTCTATTATGGTCTACAGTGGTGAAAGGGTTAATTAGTTTCTGTACATGTACATACCTATATCAGGTACAACTGTCTTTGGAATAGTATCCTATTTATTTCTTTGCACTTTTTCTACTTGCATTTCAAAGAACTTTGATTGAACAATAAGTTAATTTATAGAATATACATTAATGCTAGAAAGACACTTGGTACTTCATATCAAGTAATTTTAAACATGTATCTCTGTATCTTATAACTGGGTCTACTGTAGTTCTGGCACCTGTTAATTTTAAATTACCGGTATGTTTAATTTATACTTATACTTAATTCTGACAACATATAATTTGATACAGATCATTTGTTACAACAATTTGTTACAGACTCTTTGTGACAGCACTTTGATATAGCAAATGTTTCCTGTACTATCCCCTCATTGTACCTTTTTATTGCATGGCTAGACTGTTTATCAGTCTCCCCTACCGAATACATCTGTCAGAATTCCTGGCTAGACCTTTTATTGTAACCCTTATACGACACACTTTCTGATATATGATAAACAGAAAAATCTTATGGCATTTTTCCAAAAAATGTATGAAGAGAAAAAAAATCTTCCATTAACCTAAATGTGCTATTAAATAATCTCTACAGTTTTATATTTATGTTGAGTCTCAGTTCTAAGAATATTTCATATTGTAATTTTTCTTTGACCATCATGATCTCTTGCAAATTTAAAACTTGCATATTTTTTTTTAAACACAAAAATACAATTAATGAAAATTCTAAGTTACAAGAAAAATATGATACCATATTAGCACTGATGAATGTAAAGTATGCTGATTGTGGTTAACATGTGTTTTAATAAAAAAAAAAAATATTCCATCAGAACTTACAGGACACAAATCAGTACGTTCACAGTGAGATGGAGGCTCTCGAGAGGGAACAAAATCAGATTGATGACGAAGCGCAGGGTCTAGAGAGCCAGCTCAGGGTTGTCATGGCCAAAGGTAGGTCAAGGACACTTATTTAAGGTCAAGATAGCCAAAGGAGGTCAAGGCACTTATTTAAGGTCAAGATGTCCAAAGGAGGTCAAAGACACTTGTTTAAGGTCAGGATGGCCAAAGGAGGTCAAAAATACTTGTTTAAGGTCAAGATGGCCAAAGGAGGTCAAGGACACTTATTTAAGGTCAAGATGTCCAAAGGAGGTCAAAAACTCTTGTTTAAGGTCAGGATGGCCAACGGGAGGTCAAAGACACTTATTTAAGGTCAAGATGGCCAAAGGAGATCAAGGACACTTATTTAAGGTCAAGATGGCGAAAGGAGGTCAAAGACACTTGTTTAAGGACAGGATGGCCAAAGGAGGTCAAATACACTTGTTTAAGGTCAGGATGGCCAACTGTAGGTCAAAGACACTTATTTAAGGTCAATATGGCCAAAGGAGGTCAAAGACACTTTTTTAAGGTCAGGATGGCCAAAGGTAGGTCAAAGACACTTGTTTAAGGTCAGGATGGCCAAAGGAGGTCAAAAACACTTATTTAAGGTCAAGATGTCCAAAGGAGGTCATGGACACTTATTTAAGGTCAAGATGTCCAAAGGAGGTCAAAAACACTTGTTTAAGGTCAGGATGGCCAACGGTAGGTCAAAGACACTTATTTAAGGTCAAGATGGCCAAAGGAGGTCAAAGACACTTGTTTAAGGTAAGGATGGCCAAAGGTAGGTCAAAGACACTTGTTTAAGGTCAGGATGGCCAACGGTAGGTCAAAGACACTTATTTAAGGTCAAGATGGCCAAATGTAGGTCAAAGACACTTATTCAAGGTCAAGATTGCCAAAGGAGGTCAAAGACACTTGTTTAAGGTCAGGATGGCCAAAGGTAGGTCAAAGACACTTATGTAAGGTCAAGATGGCCAAAAGTAGGGCAAAGACACTTATCTAAGGTCAAGATGGCCAAAGTTAGGTCAAAAACACTTATTTAAGGTCAAGATGGCCAAAGGTAGGTCAAAGACACTTATTTAAGGTCAAGATGGCCAAAAGTAGGGCAAAGACACTTATCTAAGGTCAAAATGGCCAAAGGTAGGTCAAAGACACTTATTTAAGGTCAAGATGGCCAAAGCAAGGTCAAAGACACTTGTTTAAGTTCAGGATGGCCAACGGTAGGTCAAAGACACTTATCTAAGGTCAAGATGGCCAAAGGTAGGTCAAAGACACTTATCTAAAACCAGGATGGCCAAAGGTAGATCAAAGATACTTATTAAAGGTCAAAATTTACTAAGTTTGTTTTGAACAACAAATATTTGATTGAAAACTTATTTTGCGAACTTTCGAAAATGTCTTTGTCAAGCTACGATGACTTGTGTCTTGACTCTTAACCGCTAAACACAACTTACTTAGCAACAATTGTATTGTTACAGGTAAAAATAAGGCGTTGGAGGAGAAGTTGATGCAGGAGTGGTTTTTACTTGTAAACAAACGTAACGCCCTCATTCGTCGACAGATGCAGCTAAATATCTTGTGAGTAATTTTACTGTAATCCATTTTTACAGGGCTCAGTTTTCTTAAAACCGTTTGCTTGATCAAAAAGATATTCTGCATATTTAATTCTGGTATTAGTGTTTTGCAAATTTGGTTGAAAATTGTTTCAATTTTAATATAATAAAAGTTATTTTGATTTTAATAAAAAAGGTGGTTCAGTTTAAAATTTGTTTGAATCAACTATATCGGTGATAACAGTGTATTTCAATTCATAATGGATATATCAGTGGGTTATAAGAATCTGATTATTATAAAAACATGCAAGATTTCAATTTAACCTACCAATGTAAATGTTTCATTATGTTGTTATAGGGAAGCTTTTAAAATTATCAAAATCCCTTGTAAAGTACGAAGACTTTATAAACTATTTCATTTAAAGGTAACTGAATTTAATAGATAAAATAGACAAATAAATTGTTATTGAAATTCACATTGAAATCTTTATGTCTATCCTATGTTGGTTTGATCCTTTATACACCTGTATAACATGCAAATTATCAAACAATCAAATTTGAATTATTCCAATTTTACATATGATGTTCTAGTCCTTCTAAGTTCAAACAGTATAAGAGTTATTCCCCTTCGTACCTGATTTTGAATTGTAGAACATGTGTTGTAGTGTTATATAATGAAAATATGTGTTTATATAAGCTTGTTCAATGGAGCCTACGTAAAAATTTCATCCAAAATCTTACCGTTTATCCCAGAAATTTGTGTATCAATCAATATATTTCTTATTCACTTGATATCTTAATTCCTATTCTGTCAAAGAAAGAAGAAAAATTGAAGGTGAATAATTCACCTTCAATTTTTCTTCTTTCTTTTCACCTCAGATTTATCTTCCTTCTTCCAACACAAATCTTTCTTCTTTCTTCCATTTCTGTTCAGGTCTTTACTGTTCACCATAAATCTTTTTATCACATCTTTGATACCCAGGTAGTTTTATTGTTCGTTTTAATGATTTCACCTCAGATCTTTTAAATTTCAACTCAAACATGATGAACACTAAAAAGACAATGACTATGCAGATATACATGAACCACAACATGTCTATCACACTGGATAGTCTGATATGTGTCCACAATTTGAACTTTCTTAACCAGTCTTGAGTAGCAAGGAGGTTTAAAGGTCTTTGATTCATTTTGAGTATTAGCTGGTATCACCTGCTTTCATCAAACTTTGTTTTTAGGGATGACACAATATGTCTGAAGTCACTTTTATCACAATATATTGCAGTACAGAATGTATGTATTGCGGTACATATCCCGATAATTTGTCATAGGAAAACGGTATTCAATTAAAAAAGAAATTGTTTTCAGAATGATATCTTACGGGATCATATACATATATGGGTCACACAAATCTCCAATTTTTAGGTCACCTGAGACAAAGTCTCAAGTGACCTATTGCGATCGCCTTTAATTGTTGTGCGTTGTCCGTCATCCGTCGTGCCTCCGTAAACAATTTACATTTTCGACATCTTCTCAAAAACTACTGTACCAATTGTAATGAATTTTTGCAGGAATCTTCCATGGCCAAAGGTTAACCAAAATTGTGAATTATATGGCCCCCAGCCCCAGGGGCCTGAGGGGCGGGGGCCAAAAAGGATCAAATTGACTAAAATTTCAAATATCTTCTTCTCAAGATCCAGATATGGTAAAATCAAATACTCTTCATAGATGGAAGGGACTGAAGGTGCTTTACCAAAATTGTGAATTTTATGACCCTGGGGTCTCATGTTTCCCCCTGGGGAGGGGGTAAACTTTACTATAGCATGGTTCGCACAGGTCTTGAAAAAACCTTCAATTTGATGTCTGTCTTGAAAAAACCTTGAAAATGACTGTCAGCCTTGAAAAACCCTTGAAAATCAATGAGAGTCCTTGAAAAGCCCTTGAAAAGCAGTGAAGATAGGTGGGTATCCGTTTCTGTCATGTTAATTCATTATTTAGTAAACATTCATCGCAAACAATAATTATTTTTAACACAATTTGATCGTCAATTTGGCCAGATCGTAATTTTTTAATAATTACAGAAAATATATACCGATGAAGTTACCGGTTTTACCTTTTCAATTTGTGTCATTACTGCGTTTGAATTGAGTATGTCTCATAATGAAAGCGCCAAAGTGACAGATGGTTATGCGCATTAAGAGTATTGTTAACAGGAGGGGAACACAAAAAATGGCTTGATGATCCCAGATTTTTTCTTGGGTGAGGGAGTTCAAGAGTGATAGGACCTCTGCTTTGTGCTCGCTGTGTAACAGAATTATCGATCTGGGCAAGAGGGGGGAATATGCCCTTACATCACATATGAAAAGTCAAAAACATGTGAAAATGTGAATTTCATGACCCTGGGGAGGGGGTAAACTTTATTATAGTTTATATAGGGAAATCACATTTTGGACCAACATTTGTTTAATTTCCATTGGAAGCAATTCAATATTGAATAGCAGTTTGAATGTTAGGGGGGGGGGGGCAAAATTTATTATGGTTTATATTGGCAAATGATACTTTGGATATTGCATGTTGATAACTTGATAGGAATTATAACCCTGAGTTGACTGTTTGATACTTTGAAAATTTTGAGTCGGCCCTACCCCCAAGGGCAGTAGGGCGGGCCCAATTTAAAGGCGTTAGTGTGCTAAAATTTCTTCATTTTCCTTGTTTAGAATCCGAGGTGCTAGTTTCAAATACTTTTCAGTCTTAAATCTGTATGCTAGATATTGAATAAGGTGGTTTTATTGTTTTTTGTCACTTTGAATAATATTTCTGTTCATTTTTTAAAAACAAAAATCACCTCTCTGTATAAATATATCAGAACTCAGATGACCGTTAAGCCCCATGGGCCTCTTGTTATTAAATCAATCAGTAATTACGAATTTCAACTGATTCCCACCCTGGTATTAGCCTGTTTATGGTTATTTTCATACATGGAAATGTTAGAATTTGTAGTATTTGCGAAGCTTGAACATCCAGCAGATACATATATACATGTTAGGCTTTTGAAAAATATTGTGATTCAGCGATATTTCATCTTTGTAATTTGATACATTACAATATTCCAGTATATTGTGATATACAGGTTTTCCAATATATGTGACAGCCCCACTATACAATTATCAAAAGAAAATAATTGAACCATATTTAGATTAATTAGTTGAATTGCCTCCCTTGGCTCATTGACCTACCATCATATATTACAAACTAAGGTCAACTATGTATCAGAATTATAAATATATATTATTGAACCATTTACAAAGCTCTTCTATTTGCCACCTCATTGACATGGCCAAGGTTTCACAAGTACATGAGATTACTGTGACCTATATTTTGAGAAACTTGGTGTACAGCTCTGAAGATGAAGAAATCATTACCAGTAGGGGACTGGATTGCCTTGCACAGAAACAGAAACTCATTTTCAAAGAAACTAATTTGTTTATATTTTTTTTTAAATTTATCAAAGTATAAAATCTCACTGAAACTTGGTAACAACTACACATTATATCATTAAAAGTGTAAGAATAGATACTAAATATTAAAAGGGAAAACAAAAATGATAACTAGAAAATTATAATTATTGAGTACGATTTTCTCTTTCACATGTAACTTTTTGGTTTTGGATTAAAAAAAAAATTTAAAAAAATGAAAAGTTCATGAAAAAGTTAATTAAAAAAAAATATTGATTAATTGAAAATATTGATTATTTATGATAGACCATGATTTTCAGTATCACTCGATAACATTGTATCTACCTGTATATTGTGATCTAGTTAAAAGATACAAGAAATCAAATGTGACATCAAAATAGGAAAACCTGTTGAGAAGCTAATCTTGTTGGGGGTGTCGTCACTGTAACAACATGGCTTTACGACACACCAGTTTTAACTCATCAGGTAAGTATATACGGGGAAATAACGCCTTATTATAAAAGCATCTGAGAGTTTAGATAATGCCTTGTATCAGATCAATACACTCTGTAAAACTAGCACAGGAATCACGACTCGCGGCGGTTATTGTAAAATCGTGTTTTAGGCCTTTTAAAGATTATTGTCTTACTTAAGAAACAGCAGGAATCAACGTATTGTCTGTTTTTTATTTCACTCACAGTTTGACTTAAATTAGAAAGTGAGACGTAATGGGACATTTTAAAATGAACGCGACGTATGTGATTTATTGATGAACATTTTCAGAATTGTAGGAAAAAAATCGTGAAGAATATCAAAATTGACATTCCTTATTTGGCCATGCTAGATTGATATTAATGATTTTCTAATCCCCTTAATCTTGACTGTACTGGACCTGAGATCAACGAATGGAGACTTATAAGTCTGAGGAAAGAAAACGAAATAAGCTATAGACATACTAAATTCAAACACCTGACTTATTCCTCAATCTGACAGTAAAACATCATTTATACAAACCCTGGACTTATTCCTTGAAATTTCTACATTAAAGTATGAAATCGAACTTATATTTCTCTTATTTTATTTGCTACAAATTCTGTGCTTCATATTTCCTGTTTTGTTTTTCATCAATCATAATAAATTTTCACCAAAAAAAAAGGACGTTACTGCTGTAGTCAATATATTTTTGCTAAATATCTTGATGTTTTTTTTGTCAAAATCTTAACTTTTATATTAAACAATTTTATTTTCATTAAGAAAAGATTGGAAACAATATCCAGAGTCTTGTAAATAGAACATAGAATTTACTGCCTAAAGGGTTCAGAAATTTGAAAACAAGTTAGCATGGAAATGTAGCCAGTATTCAAACCAGAGAAAAACCTTAACCTCTTGGGCAAGAAATTGTAGACAACACAATAATAAATATATTGGACAAAATTTCTTGGGGTGGGGGTAGTGTTTAAACAATGACAAAGAGACGCAGAAGACAAAAAAAGAAACCTGGAGTTGAAACTGTGGACAACTGGCAAGTTAGAATGACAAGGGATTAGGGGTACCACCTATAAATTGTGTGTTT